TTCACCAAGGTGGAAATCAGTAGGCCAGTGGGGCCCAAAGGCCATCTAACAGATTCCCTATATCTACACATGTATTTTTCCTCATTAAGAAAAGCATTTTCCCTTAATAACACATCCCGGGCCATAAACACTTCTGATTTCAATGGAGGCTTCATGAAAAGGCTTTTATTCATTCATTCAGTATTCACTCACTCAGGCACTGTTCTCAGTGATGAGGTCCTTAGGTTTCGTTGAGCTTAGATTTTAGTGGGGAGGGACAGACAAGAAACAAACAAGAACAGCATCAGATGGCACTGAAGCTCCACAGGTAAGTGAAACTGAACGTCCTGAGAGAAAGGGACTGCATGGCCTGTTTACACTGAGTGGCCGAGAAAGGGAACTCTGAGGAGATGACATTTAAGATGAGATCCAAATGATAAAGTGGAGCCAGTCCAGCAGAGACCAGAAGTATTTCAAGCAGAAGAAACCCTATGGTACAAATTAACTTAGAATGTTTTAAGTACAGAAAAAAAAGACAAGTGTGCCTCAGCATCTAGTGGCAAGGGAACACACAGTAGAAGAAGAGGTCTGAGAGGCAGTTAGGAGCCCGATCACCTAGTGCTTGGTAAATTTGGATGAGGAGTTTGGAATTCATTCTAAGTGTGATGAGAAAGCACTAGAAGAGTCATAATAACATGATTTGCCATTTGGGAACTGGGATTGTAGGAGAGCAAAGCCAGAAGCAGGAGGGACCGTTAGGAAGCTACTGCAATAATTCACATGAGAGGTGATGATGGTGTGTTAGGCCACGGCCAGGTCCATCTGTAATAAGCCCAGAAGCAGACATAAATAGAAAACGCTGAGGCTTCACGGTGCAGTCTCTGATCAAGTGAGAGAGCAAGACTTTCAAGGCCAGGAAATCAGCTACCAGACCTCATAGATCTGGCTCTGTGAATTGCAGAAATTGCCTCAGATGGTAACAGAATGGTTTCCAGGTGCCTATCAGTTGTTTCATTCCACATCAGGCTACAGACACCATCAAACTTCAAAAGAACTTCTGTAAGTTCACGAATAAGTAGATGACTTATCCTCATTCCCATTTTGGAAGTTACCTATCAGGAATTTATGCTTACCTTGCTAGGGAAAAGTAGGGCCTTCCATGAAGATTTGGACATAATTATACTTATTAATCCCAACAACCAAACAGAGCAAAAGAAAGGCATTCAAATTTTTAGAAAACTTGAAGGCAGCTAAGCAAAAGAATAAAATTAAGACTAATTAATTAAAGGTTAAAATTAAGGCTAAGAGGTCCCTATCACTCCTTAAGTACTCTCTTTGTCTCAGCTTTTGTGCAAATGAACGTCTAACTGAATACACATTGTTAGCACTCCAGAATGTTTTGAACTGAATTGCCCCACCCATCATATGGTACGAGAAGTATCGATCTAAAAAAAAAACAGAGAAAACAAAAACCCAAGACATAAGATGATGACAAAGGGATTCTCTAGGAACCTTTACCTCCAGGCCACTTTTGTAAAAGATCTGTTTCAGCTCTACTAATTTGTAATTTGTGATCAAACTGAAGCTACAGTCAGTGTTTTTAAAAGACTATTATGAATGACAGTAACGATGATGATAATAGTTATTGAGCACTTACAGTATACAGGTCACAGGCTAAGTGCTTTCCATGTAATATCTCATTTAATCTTTAAACCAACTTTACCAGACAGCAGCTATCATCCTTACCTGCAAATGAAGAAGTTGAGGTATCTAGATACAAAGTCTGATGTCACACTGCTGTTAAGTGAAGAAATTGGGCTTATAAAAGCAAAGTATGCCGAAATTCAAAGCCCTATGATCTTAACCATAACTCAATACAAATTTAAATAGTACAGGAGCGCCTGTCGGTTAAGCATCTGCCTTTGGCTCAGGTCATGATCCCAGGGTCCTAGGATAGAGCCCCGCATCAGGCTCCCCGCTCAGTGGGGGTCTGCTGCTTTTTCTCCCTTTGTGCATGCTCTCTTTCTCTCTCTGGTAAATAAATAAAATCTTTTAAAAATAAATAAATAAATAAAATCTTAAATAATACAAAGAAAAAATACTAACTAGTGTCTTAGAGCCTTTCAGAATAGAATACAGACTAAAATAAATTTGTCTTAAAAATTATACACTGAAATAATTTAATTGTTAACAATTCTATTTCATAAAAGCAAATCCCTTCCTCTACTGGCTACTTCAGTAACCTATTCTAGTTATGCATTATATTTAAACATAATAAAACACAGTTTTTAATAAAAATAAACCCATAATTCATCCTTACCTAAGACTATCTTCAATCCTTAGCCCAAATTTCTGTGAGTTTACTATATTTTAATAAAAAACAAATGATCTTATAACATTATAAGCTCTTCCTATAAAACAGATTCACACATACACACACATATGCACACTCCCTCTCCACTTCCTCCCTTTCTCTTCCTCCCTCCTTCCTTCTCTCTCTCCCTCTCTCTCCCTGTATAGAAATTTTCTGTCTATCCTATCCCTCTACTAAATTTTGGCTAAAAGTTGGCTACTGCTGGGGTGCCTAGGTGGCTCAGTCGGTTAAGTGTCAGACTCGTGATTTCAGCTCAAGTCATGACCTCATGGGTTGTGGGATCCAGTCCCATGTCTGGCTCCTTACTCGGCATGGAGTCTGCTTGGGATTCTCTCTCTCTCCCTCACCGTCTGCCCCCAACCCCAGCTCGCTCACTCACACACACACACACTCTCTCTAAAATAAATAAATAAAACCTTTTTAAAAATGCAATAAAAGTTGGCTCTTGCTGCCAATATTTTCATAGCCTATACATATATCTTTTCAACATATGCTTTCTATTTTGCAACTTTCTAAGTTGCAAAGAACAGGACACAATGATGAGTTTTAAAAAAGCACATTTAGGTAGAAGATGACTCTCTGTAGATAAGGAACATAATAATCCAGTTTCAGATGTCTTCCCATCATGTTTCTTTTGCTTTCCCTTTAATCCATCTGTAAAATCTTTGCTTTTTAATATAATTTTGTCCCCCCAAACAGAAGATAAGTATACACTACTATACTAATGTAACATCAACTTGGAAACACAGATTTCAAGACCTACATGACCATATGAAATCAGGCCAGTGACAGATTATGCAGTAAATAATATCCAGGAAAATGTTCATCTTATAATCTCTTCAATTTATAAATGTAACATTCTGTGTGACTGCATACTTTATTCTATGATCTCATTCTGAAAGAGAGTATTATAAATACAAGGAAGGGGTTAGAGCTAAGCCAAAAGCTAAAAAATTCAACTTCTTATGCTATTAAATCTCAAACATTACACTGTAATAATTTTGTTCATAAATTCATATAATTTATATAAACGTTTGTTTTTAAAAACTTAGGAATGGCATCACCAGCACAGTCCAAAAGCCCATCCAATCTGACGGCCTCTCTTTGACAGTGACCAATGGCAGATGCCTCATAGGACCACATAAACACATAATGTATATAATTATGCACCACTATACCATTACTCCAGATGGTAGTCAGATTATGTCTTGAAAGAAATGAAAACAAGTCTCAACCCCCATCCCTTTCTTACTCTATAATTTCCTAAAAGGTGATGAGAAACTGCTAATAAAGCACAAATTTAACCATAATACAAGCCAGTGCTTCAGTAACATGGTAACTAAGAAATGATCTCTTAAAATGAAAGCTGCACTCAGAAAGAGAACCTAAGGTCATCAAAACTTTTTAAAGGAGAATTTCAATGAATTTAAAAGCATCTGATTCATTCAATTAGAAATATTTACAGAACAGAAGAGCAAAATTAAACTAAATCTTTAAAAAACTATATCTTTTACCCAAGACATCCATTTCATGATATATAATACTATTTTCTAAAAAGGTATTATAAAATGTCTATTTTTACTCTTCAGAGAAATGGTATCCACACCTGTTTTATAATGATTTTAAAGTAAGGCTTGGATTTATTAAATGTTCATCTAAGTGTGCAAAACCACATAATGAAGAAATCTTGGTTTAGTCCTTTAGGAAGTACTATTTCCTAAATAATTACACAGAAAAAAATGCACTATACTTTTAAAGACCTTTGGAGAAGATAATTCTCGTGGTAGTATACTTGGGTATTGGTTTAACAACGCTTGTAGTCAGGAAACTGTTCCTGACCTAAATCCTCCATGGTATAATTTAAATTCATTTTCTCTTTTTCTGACCTCAAATAGTTGTAGAAGATTAGGTCATATCATAATATTTTATATATTTAAAAACCCTTATTAATGTCTCCTTTTCCAGGTAACTGCACTGCAGGACTATGAACCAACTAACAGTTCTGTACTAAATTCAGTCTTATAATTTTATATGCGGTATATCATAGCCCAAGAGACAGATCTCAAAAATTACTTATCCACCATTTTTACCAAGCACTACTCATCCCCCAATACACTCTTCCTTAAAAAAAAAAAAAAAAAAAATTATCTACATTTTAGAACAAACCCCAAAAATTTAGAAAGAGAAGTTTATGAGAGATGCGAGCAAGGAACAATGCACACAAAATTCCACCCAGACACTGCTTTCTTTCCTAGAAAAGGGGACCATTTAATGAAATCTATCTCTCAAAAATCTCTGGGGCAGAGCTGAAGCTGTAGTGCAGTATCATAAAATCTGCAGCTGTGTTGCTGTTCTTAATAGTCCATGCTGCTTCCTCAGACCACAGGAAGCCAAAACACACACACGGTCAGAACAGAACTTACCTGAACAGGAACTGGCCAAAGCAGCAGAGCAGTTATGAAGGATCAAGCATCAAAACTGTTATTGAAAAGACTGTATACATCTTTAAAAATGTTCTCCTCCAGCAATGTACTTACTCCAGGAAAGCTGTATCTTTTATGTTTCTAAACATCAAGGTTTTTGTAGCAATAAAGACTACGGGATAGGCAAATAAATTACTACACATAAATAAGCATTAATAACTTACTTTTATTGCCCACCAAGGCAACCAGTGGCTGAGTTTCTGACTCCTCGCTCACTTTCTTCACCACAGAATACCAGTCTTCTAAATTCTCAAAGCTTTGATAATTTGTAATATCATATACCAAGAGGATTCCCTGTCACAAAAGAGTTACAGAAACTTTGTAAGATACCTGGCATATGCATGGTAAGTTACAATGAATACAAGGAAACTATCATAGAGGTGAAAAAGCTGCAAGGTCTACAACCCTGCCTGTAACTTTCATGAGGTCAAACATGTAAACCTTTCAATAAATAACCATCTGCTGCTGCTCTTTTTAAATATTTCAAAAAAGGAGATTCCATGACATCCCTTGATAGTCAATTTTAGTGTTTAACACAATTTTCTTTAAATGAAATAAGTCGATTTCCTCTTTTGGGCCTCTGTGCATTTGGAGAACAACATGAGAGTATCCTCCTCATAATAACCCTTCATGTACTTGAAGATAGTTAAGTAACTCCTTTACTGTCCCCTTTCCAGAATAAACAAACTCAATTCCTTAAACTTGCCTCAAAGGACCTATTTTCTATCCCTTTAATCATAGTTGTTGGGTTCTTCCCAGGACACACTACATACAGTTTTTTGACATCCTCTTTAAAATGAGCAATGTAAAACTGGACATGATACTGTAATAAGAGCCTGAACAAAGCCAAATATAACAGAGGGATTGCTTCCTGCCTCTTATATATCATATTCCTTTTAATATATCCCATTATTTTGTGTGGGAAGAAGAAGAAGTATGTACACACACAAATATAACAGTGCCACATTCTTGATTCTCATCCAGTTTGTGGTCAAACACTTAATACAAAGCTCTGCATACAATATAAGTCTGGACCCTAATAGCATTTATGTCTCCTTCTTCTTTGGTTGTAATCATAAATTTTAACTACATTTTTGTACCTACTATGTATCTAGACATATATTTAGATCTCTTCATTAGTCCTTACAACAATAATGCAACACTGGTATTCTTATTCTCATTTTACTAATAAAGAGAGGTTACAATAACCAAGGTCATACAGCTAGGCAAGTGATGAAGCCAGATATGAATCAAGAGCTGAAAGAATATGAATTCACTCTATAAGCACTTGTCTGCCAACTATTTGCCCAGCACTGTGCTGGGTCCTATGGGTATAAATTCCAAACCTCAAGAAACTCACAGTCTTGCAGCAAGGTCAGGCACATAAACAGACAAGTATAGAACACAAAAGTGATGGCTAGTGATATGCTGGTAAAGGTTAATCAACTGGCTATTGTCGTGGTGGGGGTAGGGAATTGCAAAGTGTGATTTGTAGCATTTGCCTATTTCTGTGGGGTAAATACTCCCCTAGGGCCATTTTCAAGTGACTGATGGCACTTCACTGAACAGAACTGGGTAAGACACCACCACATTGCATCTGCACCATACGGTTACACTAGACACTACCATAATGCATCTGTACCATACAGTTACACTAAATAATTTCAAGAAAATAGATAACAAAAATATATGTTAATTAGTAAAGAATGCATTTGAGCATATATCTTTGTTTTTAGTATAATTTATGCATTTATATCTAATTTTTAATCATGAACGTATTCAACAAAGGGCTCACAAAAATTCCCAAAATTTGAACAACTGACTTTCTCAAGCCAGTTCCAGCACACTACCCTTACAACGTTCTAGCACAGTGCTCTTTTAAATTACACTGGCTCCCAAGTCACTTATCTTCTCTGGGTCTCAGGTTGTTTGCCTCTAAAATTAGATCATTGACAGTAAATGGTCTCTAAGATCCCTTCCAGTTTAAATATTCTATAATTTTTATGCAAAATCATTTGTCTGATTTATTTTGGTAACTTAGACACGTATTTCTGTCTTCCCAAATGCCTTGAAATAATGCCCAACTCAAAATTATTTGAAATAATCACCATAAGTTCCCTTTTCTTATTAAGAATAATGCCCCAGGGGTACCTGGGCAGCTCAGTCAGTTGGGCAGATATCTGGCTCTTGGTTTTGGTTCAGGTCATGACCTCTGGGTCATGATATCAAGCCCCGGAGTTGGGTTCTGCATTTGGTGGAATCTGCTTGGGATTCTTTCCCTCTTCCTCTCCCTCCCCCTCTACCTCTCCTGTGTGCACACACATCCGTGATCTCTCAAATAAATGAATGAATGAATAAATAAATCAATAAAATCTTTAAAAAAGAAAAGAAAAATGCCTCAGAATTGGCCTTTGAAGAACACTAATCTTCAATCTACTGATTCCACCTCGAGTTGATTTGAATGATACAATATATTGTGTTACAACAGCTCTGCCCTGAAAGTCAGATTGCTCTTGGACTGCAGTCTTGGCCCTACCATCTACTGATTTTTTTTTTTTAATTTTATTATGTTATGTTAGTCACCATACAATACATCATTAGTTTTTGATGTGGTGATCCACGATCCATTGCTTTCATATAACACCCAGTGCTCCATGCAGTACATGCCTTCCTTAATACCCATCACCAGGCTAACCCATCCCCCCTTCCCCCTCCCCTCTAGAACCCTCAGTTTGTTTTTCAGAGTCCATAGTCTCTCATGGTTCATCTCTCCCTCCAATTCCCCCCGCCTATTTTTTCCCTTCCTCCTCCTAGTGTCCTCCATGCTATTCCTTATATTCAAGAAATAAGTGAAACCATATGATTATTGACTTTCTCTGCTTGACTTATTGCACTTAGCATAATCTCCTCCAGTCCCATCCATGTTGATGTAAAAGTTGGGTTTTCATCCTTTCTGATGGCTGAGTAATATTCCATTGTATATATGGACCACATCTTCTTTATCCATTCATCTGTTGAAGGGCATCTCGGCTCTTTCCACAGTTTGGCTATTGTGACATTGCTGCTGTGAACATTGGGGTGCATATGGCCCTTCTTTTCACTACATCTGTGTCTTTGGGGTAAATACCCAGGAGTGCAATTCCTGGGTCATAGGGTAGCTCTGTTTTTAAATTTTTGAGGAAACTCCACACTGTTTTCCAAAGTGGCTGTACCAACTTGCATTCCCACCAACAGTGTAAGAGGGTTCCCCTTTCTCCACAACCTCTCCAACATTTGTTGTTTCTTTCCCTGTCCATTTTTGCCATTCTAACTGGTGTAAGGTGGTATCTCAATGTAGTTTTCATTTGAATTTCGCTGAGGGCTAATGATGATGAACATTTTTTCATCTGTCTGTTAGCCATTTGTATGTCTTCTTCAGAGAAGTGTCCTTTCATATCTTCTGCCCACTTTTTGACTTGATTATTTGTTTTTTGGGTGTTGAGTTTAAGAAGTTCTTTATAGATCTTGAATACAAGCCCTTTATCTGTAGTGTCATTTGCAAATATCTTCTCCCATTCTGTGGGTTGCCTCTTTGTTTTGTTGACTGTTTCCTTTGCTGTGCAGAAGCTTTTTATCTTGATGAAGTCCCAAAAGTTCATTTTTGCTTTTGTTTCACTAGCTCTTGGAGATGTATTTTGAAAGAAGTTGCTGTGGGCAATGTCAAAGAGGTTACTGCCTATGTTCTCCTCTAGGATCTTGATGGATTCCTGTCTCACATTGAGGTCTTTCATCCACTTTTGAGTTTATCTTTGTGAATGGTGTTAGAGAATGGTCAAGTTTCATTCTTCTGCATGTGGCTGTCCAATTTTCCCAGCACCATTTATTAAAGAGACTGTCTTTTTTCCATTGCATGTTTTTTCCTGCTTTGTCAAAGATTATTTGACCATAGAGTTGGGGGTCCATATCTGGGTTCTCTATTCTGTTCCATTGGTCTATATGTCTGTTTTTGTGCCAGTACAATGCTGTCTTGGTGATCACAGCTTTGTAATACAGCTTGAAATCGGACAACGTGATGCCCCCAGCTTTTTCTTTTTCAACATTTCCTTGGTGATTCGGGTTCTTTTCTGATTCCATACAAATTTTAGGACTGTTTGTTCCAGCAACTTGAAAAACGTCATTGGAATTTTAATCAGGATGGCATTGAACGTATAGATTGCTCTGGGTAGCATAGACATTTTAACAATGTTTATTCTTCCGATCCATGAGCATGGAATTTTTTCCATCTTTTTGTGTCTTCTTCAATTTCCTTCATGAGTGTTCTGTAGTTCCTAGAGTATAGATCCTTTACCTCTTTGGTTAGGTTTATTCCGAGGTATCTTATGGTTTTTGGTGCTATTGTAAATGGAATCATTTCTCTAATTTCTCTTTCTACAGTTGCGCTGTTAGTGTATAAGAAAGCAACTGATTTCTGTGCATTGATTTTGTACCCTGCCACATTACTGAATTGCTGTATGAGTTCTAGTAATTTGGAGGTGGAGTCTTTTGGGTTTTCCACATAAAGTAACATGTCGTCTGCGAAAAGAGAGAGTTTGACGTCTTCTCTGCCAATTTGAATACCTTTTATTTCTTTTTGTTGTCTGATTGCTGTGGCTAGGACTTCTAGTACTATGTTGAACAACAGTGGCGAGAGTGGGCATCCTTGACATGTTCCTGATCTTAAGGGAAAGGCTCTCAGCTTTTCCCCATTGAGGATGAATTGTGGGTTTTTCATAGATGGATTTTATGAACTTGAGGAATGTTCCATCCCTATACTCTGAAGAGTTTTAATCAAGAAAGGATGTTGTATTTTGTCAAATACTTTTTCTGCATCAATTGAGAGGACCATATGGTTCTTCTCCCTCCTCTTATTAATGTATTCTTTCACACTGATTGATTTGCGAATGTTGAACCACCTTTGCATCCCAGGGATAAATCCCACTTGGTCGTGGTGGATGATCCTTTTAATGTATTGTTGGATCCTATTAGCTAGGATTTTGTTGAGGATTTTGGAATCCATATTCATCAGGGATATCGGTCTGAAATTCTCCTTTTTGATGGGGTCTTTGCCTGGTTTGGGGATTAAGGTAATGCTGGCCTCATAGAATGAGTTTGGAAGTTTTCCCTCTGCTTCTATTTTTTGAAACAGCTTCAGTAGAATAGGTATTATTTCTTCTTTGAATGTTTGGTAGAATTTCCCAGGGAATCCATCAGGCCCTGGACTCTTGTTTTTTGGGAGGTTTTTGATCACTGCTTCAATCTCATTAGGGGTTATTGGC